ATGACATCCAGTCTTCCCATTTAGAGTGCATTAAAATAGTGACATGATAACACTTGAAGAGCCTTTTGTGTAGTACTTGACACTTCACAACTATTTAATAAATGTGATATATATAGCCATGTATATATATATATACTTGTTTCCTCATCTAATGCATTTTTCTTATTACCTATTTTATTAAAATACAGAGCATCATTTGTGGAATATAAAGTAACATAAGGGGGGACTAACACCCAAGAATAGTAGAGATAAGGGCCAGGAGGATTGCTCCGTGGCTTAGAAGCCAGCCTCACATGCTGGGGGAAAAGGCAACTCAAATAGAGAAGGGACCACCAAGTAAAGGATGCTTGGAGGGGCCACTAGGGATGTGAGATGTGTGGAGAGTAAAAGGGAATGTGCCTGCCAAAGAGGTGGGGGGAAGGGAGATGGGGCGGGGGTGGTGGGAGGAATACTGGGAACATTGGTGGTAGAGAATGGGCACTGGTAGAGGGATGGGTACTCAATCATTGTATGACTGAAACATAAGCACAAAAGTTTAAAGTCTGTAACTCTACCTCATGTGATTCACTAAGTAAGTAAGTAAGTAAAGGCCCTCCCGTTGATCATCGATTTGCTCAAGCAGGCCCAGTAACGTCTTCATTGGAGACTTTGTTGTTACTGTGTCTGGCATATCGAATACTCTCGGTAGCTTGCCGGACTCTCCGAGAGGGGCGGAGGAATCGAACTCAGGTCAGCCATGTTGGCTGCATGCAAGGCAGACGCCCTACCCGCTGTGCTATCTAAAAGAAATACAGAGTATTTTATACAAAATGACTTTCTGTTCTTAATTTTAATGAAGGTTTATGGTGAATTAAAAGATAACTCAAAAATTCAACTTTAGTGAGATACCATAATCTGTAAGGCAAGTGGAAACACTCTGGGGAAGACTGTAAGCCGCTAAGAATCTTGTGAGAGTCAAGGCATAGATTCCATATATATGAAAGACAAATTTGAGGACAGAAATAGAGTTTTGATTCAAATACATGACTCCTATTTCTAGGGAAGCTTATTCATTCGGACGGGAGAGATGAATATGTAAGACATGTCAGGAAGTTATTCACGTGTGTAGGGAAGGTGTGGCAGAAGATAAAATGGCACTTTCAGATTTTCATCCTGGCCACAGCCAAGGTGTTGAAGTGCTTAGAGTTGACTTCATATTTTTAGAATAACTGAAATGATTTTTTAGCATATTCTCTAAGACAATAGAGAAGAATAAATAATTACCAATTATTTTTGAGACTTATGGTATCAAATTTTCCCAAAAGAGAGGCTAAGAAACAAAGTTCCTTTCCCGGCGTATTCACCATTTTCAGCAATCTTTCTGGAGAATTCAGAATGGCAATTGTGATTCATCTCTAGCAGTTTTATCCTCAGATTTATCCTGAGGTTTAACAGCTAACAGTGGGGTGTCTTATTTCCATCCAGATATCTTCTTTGGAAATTCTTTGTTTATATGAAGGTTTATCTTCAATCAGAAGTGTTAACCCTTGTCTCCATCTTTAGCCCTGCCTAATTCCACAGATATACACATATTCTAGCTCTACAGAGAACCCATCTTGCTAAATAGATATGTTCTCATCCTCAGCGGAACCCTGATCCTTACATTAACACAGAAACAAAGGTGCATTTTCTTGCATAGCCACATACAAAATTTAAATTCTCTTATTAATGTTGATCCCGTGTTTTATAATAATTTGTAGAGGTTCTAAGAAACACGATGAGCTCTCACAGAAGAAACACTGAGGGATCAGTTTTAGTATAGGGGGTTCCCTGAAACAACCACAAACTCGGACTTTTAGACTCAGAGCAAAAGGGGCAATGAAACGTGTGTGTACAGAAGCGTGCATGTGTACAGACACACACATACACACACACACACACACACACACACACACACACACACCCCAGAGCATCTGTTTTATAGGTCAGGCAAAGAAGTAAAAATAAAGACACCTCAAAATGGAATTTAAACAAATAAAGTACCTTGGCCCAAAGTGAGTACACCCATTGCAATCTCGTGGCCTGTTTTCACACAGATCTTCAGCTTTGCCAAGCTTTTATACCTCCATATAAACCTGAAGGTCTATCTGCCAGGGATGCATCACAAAGAAGAGCTCTCAGCCTTTGATATAGCCAAGCAGTTGGGGGCCAACAAAATCTTTTCTTTTGTCAATCAAATGAACTATCTCTTAAACATATATAATCTTGTTCAGACTTCCTGGCCAAAAAAGAGAGAGAGGAGAGGAAAGAAAATGATAATGAAACTACTGGCAGAAGTAATATTTTTATTCTCTCTGTCCTTGTTGTAAGCTCCCAGGGTGCAGAATGAAAGATATGGTTGTTCCCAATTAGACTTTTGCTATGGAGGGAAAGGTTAGTAGAACTGTGTGGAGATTCTGATTTATGAAACTTAATTTCTAAAGACCTGGCAGTTTAGTCATGGTTAAATATGTTACAGCATTTCAAACATATGCAAAAGCAATATGGGCTTTCCTGGTGAGTGTTCCTATGGAGTTAGTACAGTGAATAACTAAATATTATTTGTAATTAACACACCAACGTTGGAAGGTAGTATGCTCCTGGAGTTTACATATCTTATTTCTGTTAAGAATCAAAAATGCCTAAAAAATTTCTGGCTGCCTTGAGTTGCCACAATTGAAGCTTATTTTCCTAAATGGCTCAATATATTCCTTCCAGCAACTCTTTTATACTATTTATTTACTTAACAAACTTGCAGTTTCAAAAGTGTACGAAATTAGCCCAACTCTAAATTATCGCAGATGCAAAATCAGCAGGTACAAACTAATGAGGTTTAGCTGTGTCAAAAGCAAAGGCAAATCATGCGTATTCTATTGATAGAAACCCAGCCTCTTTCAATTGATAAATTTGGAGCTTTATTTGTTCAGGGAACATTGGAAGTCAGATTTGGGAGGGAAACCTAACACTGTAACTTTAAGCAATTAAATTCCATATGCACTTCTGTTTCTTCGCCCATAGAATTGAAATAATAGCTATTTACAGGTCTAGAGTGGATATTGAATGTAGCACTGTAGCACTGTCCTCCCGTTGTTCATCAATTTGCTCCAGCAGGCCCAGTAACGTCTCCATTGTGAGACTTGTTATTGTGTTTGGAATATCGAATTCATCACGGGTAGCTTGCCAGGCTATGCTATGCGGACGAGATACTCTCAGTAGCTTGCCGGGCTGTCCAAGAGGGGCAGAGGAATCGAACCAAACTTGGCCAGGCTGGCGGCTTGCAAGGCAAACACCCTACAACTGTGTCATCGCTCCAGCCCGGATATTGAATATTTTGTATAGAAAGTATTGGGCATGGTTCTTTTCAGTGATTAACAGGGGAGCAGCTATTGCTTCACTTTTCTACTTATGAGTGTTGCATATAGCAGTCAGGTGCTAGTACTGTGCTTAGGACATCTTCAGCTCAATTGTATCCCCTGCACTGCATGGTTCTCTAGGCATCAAGTAACCCTATGCAGCTTCCAAGCACTGCTTGGGTCAGGTCTGGGCAATTTCTGGCACCATGGGACCTAAACAACATGATATTCTTGGGTTCTTGCATTGAACCACATTCCAGGTTGGCCAAGGATTACAGATCGGGACACTGAGAATCCTGAGTGCTACTTAGGACATACTGTCCACATAAATCTGTAGAACAGTATAAAAGGTCTGTGTTGTTAAAGGGGTTCAAATATACTTGCTCACTAATACACTCTGTGTGCTCCAGAATACCCATTAATCTGTTTGTTTCTCTCATTCTCAAGATATAACTAAATGTAACTGTATTTCCTGAATGATAATGAGCATTAAATGAGATATCAATTTGCTCCAGCGGACCCAGTAACGTCTCCATTAGAGACTTTGTTGTTACTGTGTCTGACATATTGAATACGTCACGGGGAGCTTGCCAGGCTCTGCCGTGTGGGCGAGATACTCTCCGTAGCTTGCCGGGTTCTCCGAGAGGGGCGGAGGAATCGAACTCCGGTCGGCCATGTTGGCTGCGTGCAAGGTAAACGCCCTGCCGCTGTGCTATCGGTAGAAATACACTATTCTACACATAAAGGCCCCTTTCTTATTTCCCTCGGTTTTTCTAGTTGTCATAATTTTGTGTGAAGTGAGATATGGATGAATGTGCTTAGTATCTAAAACACTTTAAAGACAGTGCACAATTAGTGATTTGTTATTGCCCAGTTTTGCAAGTTTTCTAATTGTTACCCACTCCTAACATACAGAAGAAAGACAACAATTATTTTTAGAACTATGTAATTAATAAGGACTGCTTAATGTGGAAACAAAGGTATTAGAGAAATGGAAGTGTTATTTGACAATTTAAAGAAACCATTGCTTCTCTGTATTTAAATTCTGTTATTTTTGCTCAGTGTTTTTTAGTAACTTGGTAGAGCTTATTTTTTATAGGGAAAATAAGCAATCATAATTGGATCACATACTTTTATACATTTCAACAGTTAAAGGCTAAATATCACTAAATAATTTGATAGTAATTAAAATCCTGTGCTGTAAAGCAATAGAATTCCGAGTTCAATGTCAGTCCAGAATATTTAGGACCTCTAAAAATTTGAGATATTAGACATTAGGACTTTGGACAAGTCACTTTACCAGAATGAGTAACAGAGTGAAACACCTGTAAAAACACCTGTGAAACAGAGTTAAGTGACATTTACCCAAGAGAATTGTTAAAATAAGTTGAATCATTGATCAAATTTGAATTGTGATTCCCACATTTTAGATGCACTAATTACTGTTTTCTGTCTCTGACCCACTTCCCCTAAGTATCATCTTTTGTTCCCTTTTCCTGAACCTCTCTGTTCTCCAAACCAAATGGTCAGAGCTGAAATTGATATTCTGCTTGTTTGTTTGTTTTTCAAGTAAACATTTGCTCTCTTTATAAAATTGATGTATTTTTCAGCCATGTCAATTTTTCCCAGGTAGCAGGGATAAAGGGAATGTTCTTGGCTAACAAGAAGATTGAGAACCAGGTGAAGACTTTCATTACATATAACAAAGGCCGAGACTGGCGTCTGCTGCAAGCTCCAGACACTGATCTAAGAGGGGACCCCGTACATTGTTTACTGGTAAGTCTTCATGTTGGAGCAGAGGGCCTGGTAGAGGGAAGGCCTGGGAATGGAGGCAGACTATCCCATGAAGGTGATTCTGGAGCTTATTGTGCAAATTGAAGAGCAGAAGGGGATATGGGAGGGTCACCATTCTGCTTTTTATGATTGCCTGATGAGACAGAAGTACATGAGTGTTTTGCTCACTTCTGAGGATATTCATTTATAACCCAAATTCTAACAGTAGCCTCACACTGTAGTTTACAGAGAACATGATATTTCCATCTATTTTGGGATAGGCACTCTGATTTACCTGTAGCTTATTGCAGCATTTAATATTACATAAGTTCAGCTATAGAATTGGTAAGTTGAATGCTGAATTGTGTAGATGTATTTTTAATGAAGATGTTTAATTACATTTTTAAAGAAGTTTATGCCTTCCAACGAGGCAATGAGATAAGAACCATTGAGTAAACTCTTTCTTTTTTTGGTTTTTGGGTCACCCCCAGCATTGCACAGGGGTTACTCCTGGCTCATGCATTCATGCACTCAGGAATTACTCCTAGTGATGCTTGGGGGACCACATGTGATGCTGGGAATCAAACCCAGGTCGACCGCATGCAAGGCAAACACCCTACCCTCTGTGCTATCACTCTAGCCCCTGAGTAAACTCTTTATGACATGTTTCTTTAGGTCTAATTCTATAAAGCTGGGTTTTCAAGCTATGATCTGTTTATCAAATACAGTTCAATGATTATGTGCCAAATAACATTTTATTAAAAATCACCCTGCTTCTTTGTATATTATTTGTGACTGATTTTATTCTACCATAGCAAAATCCAGTAGTCATAAAGGGGTCCAAACAATATTTTTATTATTTAGCTTTGTGAAAAACAATTTGCTGACCTCTGCTTTGAAGTATGACTATCATTTTTCAGATGACTAGCATTTGGTCAGTAAATAAATATGGTTTGATTTACATATTTTATAATATAGGAACATTCAAAACAAGGATCAACGGTGGGTCTTCGAAGAGTTTGCAACCTACATGAGAAGACTAGATTTTTGAATAAAAGATAATAAATCTCACTTCTTAGTTTGGCACCAGTCCCATACCTGATGCTTCTATGGATATTCAGTGAATGCAAAATGGAGTGTAGGAAGGGATAAATTTCAAGAGTTATAATTGAATGCTGATTACTGGAAGATAATTTAGAATTTGTGATTAAGTTCACCAAAGAGAATGGCCAATAGTAAGTCAAATTATAAGGTACATTTTTTAGTTTGAAAATGCTGTTTTCCTACTCCTTATAATAGTTCTAACTTTACTATAATGCACACACATATGACTTACCTCTATCCGTGAAGTCTGAAGATTCAATTTGCAGATTTATATCATAAAGCTTTAGACAGTTCATTCTCCTCCTTGAAAAGATGCCAGCCATCAGAGCTTGACCTTACAGAAAATATAACTGTTGTCACTGCGTTAGGAAAGTAGTCTGAAATCAGCTTCTCACTCCACTTCCATCCATATTTTTGGTAATTTCCAAGAGGAAAATCCAGCTATAATTGTGTCTGTACAAAATCAATAACACAGTAAATATAGCAGTTATTTATTTAAAATTTATTCCATCAAGGCAGCTAAGTGACATTTGAAAAACAAACCCACCCTGCTATTTAGCTGGTCCGGGATAGAATAATGTAGTTAGCCAAAGATGCATGGAACATCCCAATGTCTGGATATGGTCCTCTGTTACCATGCACTTTGGGGTAAAATGCTCATGAGAGAATATAAAATATAAACTTCGAAGGTTTCCTTGGACACTCTGGCATCATACATGGACCACTAGAATTGCCTTTTACACAAAAATCTTAGCAAGGTGCTCTTTTGTTGTTGTTGTTTTTAGACTACTGTTAGTCTTATGGCTGAGCCTTGAAAAAATAAATATATAACACCATAGTTCTCCATCTCCATTAGGACCATCCTAATCCAAGTTACTGTTATTTTTCGCTCTTCTACAGTGAAAGACTTAACTTATTCTCCTTTCTCTACCTAGCAATCTATTTTCTAGCGAACTGGCAGTGAGAACTTTGTTTTCTAGAAAAATACAATGTTTTGAGAGGAAAATACATAGAAAATACCTGTATTCAGAGAGCAGTTTGATAAATTCACAAAGTAATTGTAGAAGTAATTTCCATGTAACTACTGTTGTGACCAAGGAAGTTCACTTTTATTATCCATCCCCCAAATTGTTCTTTATTCTTTTGTAGTCAGTATAGAATAACTACTATTGTTTCACTACAAAGTATATTTCTCTTTCCTAAATTTTGTATAAATGGAATCAATGTAAGCATTAAATGGAATCAATGTGAGATTGCATGCCTCCTTAATTTAAACCTTCTAATGACTCCTAATGCTGGTAAAATAGAATTGAAATATTCTATCACAGCCTACAATGTTCCATAGGCTCAGATCCCTGCCCACTGTTCCTTTCTCATCCTAGACTCTTATCTTTCCTATATAATCCTTATAAGTAGGGAGAGAAGAGTATTTTCTTTCATGAAATTACATTGTGAATTCATGTCATAGACGGCATTTCCCATTATTTCTCTTAAAGTTCCTTTCTCCTCACTTGGCTTTTCCTTGGCATTTGGATTCTTACTTGATTACCTTAATCTTGGATAGATTTATAGAGCATTCTTGAATCCTGTACTTTTCTGAATTCATTTTTCATGACCCTACTCATGATCTGAACTCAGTCCAAGTATTCCTAGGCCTTCATGTCCATATTCTGCTAGAATATGAAATCAGTGAGTGCAGGAACTGTGGCTCTCTTTGCTACACCAGAGAATCAGCCCCACTATATGCCTCATGGTAGGAGCTCCACTCATAAGTTATGTGTATTTGTTTAAAATAGATGGCCAGCTGACATCTAATCTGTCAATTCAATATTGACAGTATTGTTTACTTCACTTTTGAACTTTCACACTGGAGCATGTTAAATTATTTGCTGTATTTTCTCTTTCTGAAATCCAAAGAATCAAGTTGAACCCAAAGTTAATATCAATAGGCTCCTTAAGGTTAATAAAGTGTCAATTAATGCCAGGTATATACATGGTACTCGCAAGTTTGATTTTTATTTTAAATCCTTCCTCCCTTATAAACCATGTTGTTTAATGTAGTTTTAATTTCAATTTTACAAAACAGTGGTCAGAGTCAGGAGGGGAATATGTAGGGGCAGAGGAAGGAGTAGGGAGGAGAGTGAAAAATCATTTTATGAAATGCACAAAACAGGAAAGAAAACCTTTGAGCTACAGGAGACTCAGACTGTTAAAAATCCTTCTTTTCGTGGGAGCTGGTGACAGAAGGAAGATAGAAAGCGATTTTAGATTGTGAGTACTTGGAAAGTGACAGTGTCACTAAAAGCACGGCCTAGTGATTAGAAAAGAGATTTTCCAGCAGGGCTGTTACAGATGTGGAACAAGTTCAGAATTACAGGCCCAAATGGAATGTTCCTGGTTAAATGTATTCTATAGAAATAAGACATCCAGAGTAATTTGGGGCTGTATTTTTAGAACTTTTAGACTGATTGCCTGGAGAGCTCAGCTGGGATTTCTTTCCTTTGAAGGTTGCATTGTACAATTAGATGGGGTAGTACAGGTCATGGCCCACCTGTCTCCAAGGGTTAAGATGTGAGTGGAGTCTGTGACAAATCTTTGGGTCTCTCGAGAAAACATCACGTTTCATAGAAAGAAGCAATGACTTCTTTATGGATTGAGTTGGAAGTTTTCTACTTGAGCTCATTTGCCAGGGAATTCTTGATGCTTTTGCAACTTCCTTGCATTGGCTGTGTTTCTACCTGTTCAGAATCAACACTGGGCTGAACACCTCATACCCAGGCAATCTGTTCAGGGATTTTCTTCTTCCTTGTCACTACCTCATTACTGAAGATCTGATTAACTCTTGGCATCAGTACAGCATCTGAAACAATGTGTGTGTGTGTGTGTGTGTGTGTGTTGGGGGGAGGGGTAGAACAGATACTTTAGAAGATTTTGGGATTTATTTATTGCTTTATTACTTTTAAAATTAGGGGTGGAGCTATAGCACAGTGGGTAGGGCGCTTGCCTTGCACACGGCCAACCCGGATTTGATTCCTCTGCCCATCTCGGAGAGCCCGGCAAGCTACCAAGAGTATCCCACCCACACAGCAGAGCCTGGCAAACACCCTGTGGTCTATTTGATATGCCAAAAACAGTAACAACAAGTCTCACGATGGAGACATTACTGGTGCCCACTCGAGCAAATCGATGAACAACGGGAGTGTTACTTTTAAAAGGACTCATTTGGCTTTCACTGTAGTCCGTAGACTAGGAGTCCTAGGAACAAAGGTAGTGTAATAAAATATGTATGGGGAAAAGAAGTAGAAAGTCTATTTCACCCTTAGATACTCAAGCAGTTTTAAAGATCATGTATTTCTTGGTGAGGAAATGTCTCCTATTCTTCTATCATTCAGTGACTCCACTGATTAGTCATTGTATTATGGAGATAGTTTCTAGATAATTAGTTGAACTCATCATATTTTTTGAATGCTCAGAATGACCAACAACTTTTGTTGATTAAAATGCATTATACCAGAAAGGAATTAAATGTCTTAATGTCCACCATGGGAATAAGGAGCTTGTGAACTTCTGGAAACTCTGTATGCACTTCCCTTTGTGCCCTTTTTCTTAGGAAAGAGACCTAAATTTGTTCCAGATGTTTGAACTCTACACTAGATCCTGAGAAGATAGTGACTAAAGCTCTAGTCCCGACAGCTGATCTCTTGATCTGTTAATGATATTCCATGTCCAATCATAACATGTGAATAATTGCAGTTTGCAAATACATATATAAAGCCCTCCTATCTCTGTAGGTCAGCTAGCTGCTCACACATGGTGTTTTAGTGAATAGTTCGGTGTTTTTGTGTGTGTGTGTTTTAAGCTGAAAGGGCAGGAAATAGATAAGAGCCTTTGAAACAAACTGTGCTATGACTTTTCTGAATTGGACATGATTCTGGAAAGGTATTTGGTTCCTATTTTTTGTATGAAAAGAAAGCAGAAAAGCAGAAAAGGAAAAAATGAAGAGTAGGACAAAGTGTCCCCTGTTTGGGTAAAATGAACATGTTTAAAAACCTTGCCCCATGTCCTCATGAGTTTGCAGTGACTACATTACTATTATAACAAACTAATTGATTTTCACTGACGTTGACAAATGCTCAAAACTGGTCAAATACACAAGTTTTAGTTAAGCACCATGAATCACTTATTCTTGCTTTACTTCAAGCATTGATGAGGCCAATATTTTCCTTGGAAAAAAACAAGTAAGGAAAAAAGCCACAGAATATTCTCCTTGTACCAGCTGGGGGCAATCCAGTACAACAAATATCATAGTAGAGGAAAAAGTGTGCACAAAAATGATCATTTTTAATGTTGCTGCTACCGCATGAGTCGGTGTCTTTCTTCTCAAATTAATTTATCGCAGGACTCTAAAAGCCATGGCAACGGAGCTGTGCAGAGAGAGCCAATTGAAAAGGCCGTTTCCCTTTTATAATCACAAGTGCCCTGTTTCAAATAATCCTCATATGAGATGGCAACTCATTTTTATGGTCTTCATGTTACAAACTACTGAGTGATGAGGTATATGGCAAGTGGCTGGCTTGACATTGTCAACCAAGTGTACCCTATTCTCTGGGTGCTATAAAGAGCCCTCCAGTAAACCAAATGTCTAGGTGTTATCCCCAAGAAATGGTGCTCCTCTCAGAAGACCAACTAGATACTCACTTTGGTTATACAGCTTATAAATAAAATCACTTACTGCTGATATTGTTATAAATAAAACAGTAATATCTTTCATGCCCTAACATAAAAGCGTGGCTTTATATTTCTAGTGTTTTGTTTTTTTACTGTTGTTTTTAGATTCTATACTAGGCAGCAGAAAGAAGAGGAGGAAATAGTACTTCAAAATTTCCTTTTATTTCTAGTGTCTATGTCTGAGAGAGATAAAACTGTATTTATCTCAAGTATGTAAGGATAGTGCCTGGGAAAGTAAATAGATGTAGATCAGAGAAGTGGGAGCCTCATAGACTGTGGCTATATGGAAAATACTCATAGGAAATAATTTTGATCCCTCTATTTTATGCTGGCTGAGTATCAGGATGTTGACAGGCTGTACCAGAACCTCTGCCACATCAAATTGTTCCCATTGAAGTTATCATACTGAATAGAAGGAAGTTAGGTGCTTGGATCTGTTTCTCCATATTGGGTTGATGCCTAAATTGTTTTACAGAGTATCATAAAATTTAAAAATCCTCATTTGAAAAATTTTCCTGCAAAAATAATGCCTTGATGCTGTCACTTGAGACTTTTGCTTCCTATGTCAGCAATAAAAGGATCTTCTTGTGATCTATTGTTTTTATTTTGCTGATATTTGGGCAGCTTTTCTTCCTTGGTTTCATTTTTAGTTTGTGCTTTACTCTACCCAATATAAATTTAATCACTGTATCTCGGTAGCTCTCTAAATATCTGCTGGCTGAGACTTACAGAGCAGAATAAAAGTAATAACAGAGATACATCGGTGATTCTAGAAGCCCAAGTCGATAAGATTAGACAATAATCTTCCTGAGAGATGAGAAGAAGTGTGGGTTCAAACACAAACCTGGAGGTTTTGACAACTCAGTACAAGACCTATTTTAAGTGAAAATCATATAAGATTTATTATCCTGTTTTTGTGAAACTGTTGATACCTTAATCAGGGAATTTTATCAAGGTTTTTATACATAGGTAAACAGATCCCTCAATTTTTTGTTTAAACAATTATTGCCAACATTTTTTCCTACAAATATGAGTTTATATTGAATACTACTCTTACTAACCTAGTATTTAGTAAACTAGACAGTATGTTTGTTGTTTAGTAGATATTAGGAGAGTTTCACATATTACATAGATTCCATACAACTGTGAATAAGGTGATAAATGGATAGAGACCAAGAGAGGGCAAATGGTTTCTTCAACCCCCACTAACCTTCACTGAAGCTTCTTTTCTGATTTCATATCCTATTTGTCTTCCTCAGTCATGCCTGACTATATAGAGTATTGTATCTTAAATCTTCTGCTTCTTTTCATTGTTATTAGTATAATTCAAAAGTTTTAAATGACCTTTATCTGCCTGAATATTGCATCTTCACTTCATATTCTACCCATCTTTGGTTTTGATACTATTTTATCCTGGGAGCCTCCTTTTTTTTCAAAGTGGAGAGACTCAACATCTCTGGAATTTTGCATTTTGTTTGATCTTATGACCCATATAATGTTCTATCTTTAAGAAGATCCATAGGAAGATCTTAAATTGCACACTTTATCACAGCAGGAACTAAATTGTAGTGACTGTAACTTTCATAATATCTGTCTGATGTCTAATAGGTCAAGTACCAAAATGTTCATGTAGTAGCCAAATGGAAATTAAGGCCACATACTCCTTTCTTACCAATCTGGCAGCTGTTTCATATTTGGTGGCCTACAGACACATTAATAGAAGATGAGTGAGGAAATGGGTGTGGACAGATGTACTGCTTGGATATATAAATGGATGCTTTTAGTTTCAACTTTTCCTTTTAACATTTAGGTTGTGTGATTTTTTGACACTTGTTTCTCCTCTTCTCAGCCCTATTGCTCACTACACCTTCACCTGAAGGTTTCTGAGAATCCCTATACATCTGGGATTATTGCCAGCCGAGACACAGCTCCCAGCATTATTGTGGCTTCAGGTAAGAAGCTCACTGCATTAAATTATGTTTATTTTTAGAAGTTAGGTGTCTGTTCTTGGAACTTAATGAGAAAGCTAAATATGTTTTTTAAAAACACCTAAACCACTGTCCTTGAAGCAAGTACAATGGAAAATACTGCTCAGATATGATACATGCAGGCTGGATATATCTCATACAATGCAGACAGCAAGTTATAGCCCATTGTTTATTTTTATAGAAAGTTTGATTCACTAATGGCGTTATATTTTCTAGGTAATATTGGTTCAGAGTTATCAGACAGTGATATCAGTATGTTTGTGTCTTCAGATGCAGGGAACACTTGGAGACAGGTAAGATGGTTTGTAGTCTAGTCATTACAGTTTAAATGACATGGAATAATTCAACTTGTTTCCATTATAGAACTTAATTGGTACACAATATTAAAGGGTTCCAGTGTGTGTGTATTTTTATCTCTGTTTTTGTTTTATGAAAGTCTTAATAAGTCAAAGTTTAGCAAATATCTGTGGAACTTGATATTTTTGTAAATCCAATAAATAATAGCCTTACATCAACTTCATGTATGCAAAACTTGATAAGTAACAATGAGGCCAAATTTAGTTGGACAGAATTTTCCCCATAAAAGGAAACCAAAATCCCAGAATTTATCTTATAGAGAACATGGAGCCTGGAGGGTAGATTATCTGCCTAGCACTGAGTTGCCTCCATAAATCCCCCTGGCCTTTTAGTAGGCATAATGAAGAATGCAGTGATTTAGAAATAGCTATTACCCAGGTGGTATTCTGAGATGTTTAAATCTCATGTGCAAAAGACAGAGTAATAAACATCAATGTGCATATGTTAAGGAAAGAAGAAATGAAATCACTTTATACCAGTGTGTTTAGCTTAAATGCTCTCTGTATGCTCAATGAAAATTAGATACACATGGCATATAATTTAGGTATTTAATGAGCTCTAGCAATCATAAGAAGGTATGTGCCTAATGCTTGGTTGTTACACTTCAATAAATAAATTTTAATAATCCACTGACATTTAATTATCATATAATAACTAGCACGTAAATTGAAATCTAATGCACAGGTAATCACACAGCATGAGATCACTGCTTTAAAAATTGGGGATGTTGGTGTCATGGTTCATTTGCCATTTCTTGGCTTTAGAATAGTAGATCCTCGATGGGATGTACATACTTTGAGGAAAAAAAAAAAACAGGGCAGGAAATAAATTGACTTAAGAAATCCCAAGGTGCTTTTACTGGTATCTAAGTAGGAATATGAACTATTAATTTTCTTATGAAGAATGTAAAACCATGATCCCAGGTTTTTTACCATCCATTTCTCTAAACAAAACAAAGCAGTCAAAGCCTCTACTTCTATAATCTTGTAACATATATAGGGAAAAGAAGAAAACAAAAGAGTAGGAAAGTTTATCTCCCTAGTATAGCTCTAATAATACTCTGTTAATAGATCACCTGTAGATAGCAGTATGCTTTCTGTATATAAAGTATTTAGAAATTGTTTTACATTAAATTGATTTCTCCATATTTGAAGCAAGTTCCACTCACACACAGGCTCAAAGATGATTATGTGATTTTGATCAGAACTACTCATTTGACTGTTGCCTCTATAAAACTAGAAAAAAAAGAGAAGTGATTACTTCTTGACATGAAAGTGTGATGCTGTAAGTTTCAGCTCCAACACCCACTATGCAAGGTCTTTCTTAATGAGGCTACTCATCATGTCTCTAGAACTACTTTTCACTTCATCTGTGTCAATAAGAATTTGGCATGAAAATCTCTGCTTTCTTTGATCGAAATGTGTAATCCAATAAAGTACCAAATATTCTGGTATCATACTGTCACTGTCACTGTTCTCCCGTTGTTTACCTATTTGCTCAAGTGGGCCCAGTAACATTTTGAGACTTGTTACTGTGTTTGCATACCAAGTACGTCACCGGTAGCTTACCAGTCTTTGCCGTGTGGACAAGATACTCTCAGTAGCTTGCTGGGCTCTCCTAGAGGGGCGGATGAATCAAACTTGGGTCAGCCGTGTCAGCCGCATACAAGGCAAATGCCCTACCCACTGTGCTAACACTCTGATATCATAATAAATGAAAATTTATATAACTTATTACTGCAAAGAGAATATCAACATGGCTGGAGACCTATGGATGTTTCACATGTCTTTTTTGATATACCTACAATCATAATCACAACTAATAGTATGTATGGTCTACCATGGGAAGCATTGTTCATAGCTTTGTCTTCCCAAAGATTTTGAACAATCTAGTTCTGTCATGGGACTCCTCATATAAAAGCTGATTCTCTAAACTCTTGAGAATGTGTGGATGTGGATAAGTTTCCCTCAGGTTTTCCTTTTCTCTTCCAGATCTTTGAAGAAGAACACAGTGTCTTGTATCTGGATCAGGGTGGCGTCTTGGTGGCTATGAAGCACACATCTCTCCCCATTCGACATCTTTGGTAAAGGCTTTCAGAACTTATGCATTATACTGCTCAGACCATTTTAAGACTCAGGCTGTCGATTGTGTTTGTACTAAAAATCTTAAAAACCAGGATCTGCTAAAGTATAATTTACATCTTTGCTATGATACAATAAGATTATCATCTGCAGTTTCTCAAAAGGTAGAAGAAAGAAAAAAGAATAGGAAAGGAGGGAGGAAAGGAGAGAGGTTTTATTCTAGAGAGAGGAACTATATTAAGGTTTTTAAACATGACAGTAGCCTCCCAAATATTTTATTCTCAGCTAGATTATATCAAAGAATGAGGTAGAAAGGACTGTTAGCTATTATCTCTAAGTAATCCAGCATTTGCTGTCACCTTTCCCAAATGGCTTTTCATGGAGTTGAATATTCACATTGCTTACATGCATTCTGCTCAAGTGAAGTGTGTTATGCTGCTGTTCCCACCTAATTTCTCTGATCCTACGTGCTCTGCTTCCTTTGGGGGGCATGTCATTTTACATCTCTATCTGTAGGTCTGTAACAGATGGCTCTGTGAGGCCTATTTGCCAGCAGGGTTTCCAATGTACTCTCTCCTCTGTGTTTTTGAAAGAGGTTCTCTCCAAATGAGAGCTTGTTCAAGCACATAAGCCTGATTTTCCCTCAAGCCTTAGTCTTTTTGGTCACTGAAAGGGAAAGTTGCATAAATAAGAGAAACGGATTTTGCCTGGGGAAAAGTATCCTGAGCAAAAGTGAGAGCAAGGGAACGCGCTGTGTGTGGCCAGGAAAGTCACTGACTCTGACTCCTCCTACTCTCAGGGGTCTATTCTTTATTCATTCAATATGTCAGCCGGGATTTCAACAAGCTTCCCTAAGGGGAAGCTGCACAGGGTTTTTATTACTTACAGATGCTGTGTAAGTTCATCTAGGTAGATGTCATAAGGGTTTTGTTCTTCTAAATCGCCTAAAAGCATTGCTGTGAGATTTCAGTGAGGTTGTGGTTTTATTGTTGTTTTGCTTGGGAATCACATCTGGCAGTGCTCAAGGGATACTCATGGCCCAATGCTCAGAGGTCACTCCTAGAATTTCTTAGAGGACTTTTTGGTGTGGCGGATCAATCCCAGACTTTCTGCATGCAAAACATGTGCTTAGTTCCTTCAAGCCTGGTGGTGGGGTTTTTGAGAGATCACATTTCTAGTGGGGGGCATTGGTGGCAGTGATCAGTGACATTTCTAGTGAAATACTGTGCTGAAAGTAGGTAAAGGAACAAGCATGATGATCTCTCAGTACCTGTATTGCAAAGCATAATGTCCGAGAGAAAGAGAGGAGAGGAGAGGAGAGGAGAGGGGAGGGGAGGGGAGGGGAGGGGAGGGGAGGGGAGGGGAGGGGAGAGGAGGGGAGGGGAGAGGAGAGGAGAGGGGGAGAGGGGAGAGGGGAGAGGGGAGAGAGGAGAGGGGAGAGGGGAGAGAGGAGAGAGGAGAGGGGAGAGGGGAGAGAGGAGAGAGGAGAGGGGAGAGAGGAGAGAGGAGAGAGGAGAGAGGAGAGAGGAGAGATGGGAGAGGGGAGAGAGAGAGGAGAGAGGAGAGAGGAGAGATGGGACAGGGGAGAGAGAGAGGAGAGAGGAGAGGAGAGGAGAGGAGAGGAGAGGAGAGGAGAGGAGAGGAGAGGAGAGGAGAGGAGAGGAGAGGAGAGGAGAGGAGAGGAGAGGAGGGGAGGGGAGGGGAGGGGAGGGGAGGGGAGGGGAGGGGAGGGGAGGGGAGGAAGGGAGGGAAAGAGAGGGGAGGGGAGGGGAGGGGAGGGGAGGGGAGGGGAGGGGGAGAAGAGAAGAGAAGAGAAGAGGAGAGGAGAGGAGAGAAGAGAAGAGAAGAGAAGAGAAGAGAAGAGAAGAGAAGAGAAGAGAAGAGAAGAGAAGAGAAGAGAAGAGAAGAGAAGAGAAGAGAAGAGAGAGATAGAGAAAGAGAGAGAATGAAAGTCCCTGCCATTGAAGGGGAGCATGGTGAAGGGATGGCAGAAGGGAAATTGGGGACATACATAGTGGGAAGTGTACACTGGTGGAGGGACAGGTGTTGGAGCATTGTATGATTGAAACCCAATCATAAATTCCTCTGTAATAAAAGGAACTTAATTTAAAAAAGTATATCAACATTTGAGGAGCTGGAGTGGGTAGGGCATAGTGGGTAGGGAGTTTGCCTGCACACGGCCAACCTGTGTTCAATTCCCAGCATCCCGTATGGTCCCCTGAGCACCGCCAGGAGTTATTCCTGAGTGCCTGAGCCAGGAGTAACCCCTGTGCATCATGGGGTGTGACCCAAAAAAAGAAAAATAAATAAAAAATATATCAACATTTGAAAAAATATCTACCAGTTGAATGTTATGATTCCCATTTCCTGAAGTTCTCCCATTACTGAAGGTAAAACACATTATCCCTCTACCCATATCCCTTCTTTATGTTATCAGTAACCATAATCATTGCTAAGGAAGGCTTACTTCGAAAAGACCCCAGTTTTAAAATGTTTTTGTCCTAGATGAAAGTGACTTTTTTCAGAAGGATTTTTTTTTTCTTTTGAGATCCAGTGATAGATTTATCAGTTCTTCTTTTGTTGTCCCTAGGTTGAGTTTTGATGAAGGAAGATCTTGGAGCAAATACAGTTTCACATCTATCCCACTGTTTGTGGATGGGGTTCTGGGTGAACCTGGGGAAGAGACACTCATCATGACGTAAGTGGAACAGCATGATGGCTTATCTCGAACCCATAGCGATGATTTTTAACTAGGTCTACCTCTTTTGCTACGTTTAGACTTGAATCTGCATACAAAACTATGATTCCATGCTTTTATCCATAGAAATGATTTTTAGCTAGGTGTACCTTTTTTTTCTACTTTTAGACATGAGTCTGCACACAAAACCAGTAACTGTGGTTTCATGCATTTTTACTAAAGAGAAAGAATAATGTAAGCAGCCATTTCTCTTGGCTTCTTGCTAGTTTTTGAGAGGCCCACACCAAATGTTTACAGCAAAGGGGTGCAGCTTATTTCTTTCTTGAATGAGCTTAGGGAAATTAGACGGGATCATTTCTATAGAAAAAAAGGCCATAAATTTACAGCCTTAATAATAAACAAACTTGATATATAGAAAGTCACAAGCATAAAAGAAGGATTTCACTTTAAGGCAGAACTCAGAGCTTGATGAAAATCCCACAAAGGATTTTATTTTTCCCTGGCTCTTTCCCTAACCCAATTGTGAGGCATATTAAGAAAACCATGAGAACAATCTGTTCTTGTGAAATTGCATTTGCACTCCTTCTTGTCTGGAAAGTGATGATCATTAATTTGTGAAGGACTTGATTAATGACTTGCCTGCCTGTGGGTTTCCAAACATGAGCTTTGAATTTGAAATATGAAACTGTGGTTTTCCCTGAAAAAAATATGGACATGGAAAACAGAGAGATTTGCAAGTCGTCAATCCTGTCACTCATGAGAACTTAAAATCCAAGTTAATAGTTCATGTATCTCCTATTTTTTTCTTCCCTGCACCATTTGTTGATGTAGTAAAGATCAATACATATTTAGTATATGTCTAATAATTACCCGCTTTTCCATATTTTCATTCAATTAACAAATTCTTCCAAATTTGTTTTATTTACTTTTGATTTTGCAAGCATTTTTGTAAAAAAGCTGGCATAAAGGTCTTTTTTTGACTTATCTTTATCTGTTATTCTTAACTGAAATACCTCATTGAGTGTCTAAGGATAGTCAAATGTATAGTGAAGGAAATTGTTATCATTAAATTCTCCTGATGACCAATCCTTGGGATTGCTCTGAAGGTAGAATATCATATAAACGATGGGAACCATGTACATTAGCAAGATAATCTAGTAGTATAACCTTGAAACACATAAAATATGGCATTGCTGATTGCTTCCTTAATCATTTTTGCTGAGGTCCTGGGGAGAGAATGAATATGTGCAAAGTTATGTAGAAGTAGACTCTTAAGTCAAAAACCCTGAGTTCTAACTCTGCGAGTATTTAGTGACTTGGCTTTGATTTTTTTTGAGTTAATTCTTTGAGCCTCTGGTGACCCAGATATAAAGGACAATCTATAATAGTTACCTCCATCTAAATGTGTTTTGAGGACTAAGCTCATTTCACAGTACAATTCATGTATTGTGCTAAGAACTATGCTAAGCACACAGTAAGCACTCAGCCCATGCTAGCTGTTGTTTCAACTATTGGCATTGTGATTATTGTGATTGTTCTGTGTCATCATGAACTCTGTAGAGTGTTTGGACACTTCAGTCACCGCTCTGAGTGGCAGCTGGTAAAAGTGGACTATAAGTCCATTTTTGATAGACGTTGTGCTGAGGAGGACTACAGACCTTGGCAGCTGCACAGCCAGGTAGGAGGGAAGGAGTTGATGCTGGCTCCTGGGAGGGAGGCAGGGGACCGGATTGGGGGAAACTGCATTAGAGACCAGTTGACATGCTGTCAGTTAAAGTGTTCACCTCATGCTCTCTTACGTGCTTTGTCTTCAGTAGCAGTGAACACACTGAACATTGATAGTCTGTCGTGAAGTAATTTCTATTTTTATTGTACAACACTATAATGAGATAAAAATTCAAATGTGCTCTGTTAGACTTACAACTCCCAATGAAATACCAACTCAGCACTGAGATCCAAACATAATTTATCTGAGTCTGCATATGGTTGCAAGGAGGGAGCAGGAGTGAGGAAACCATCTTCATTTCATCTTGCAGTGAAAACAGAGACAGAAAATAACAAAATTGTATTTGGTGAGCAGTGCCAGAGAAAACTTTTTGCTCTGGTTTGAGTCCCTTGGATTAGGTGGTAGGTCTTGCTTTCTTGCAAGGTCTTTGTGGTATAAGAACATATAGCTGTTGATAGGAACTTTTTCTTTGTCCTGACCCTTCAGCTGTGCAACTCCAATCAAAATGCGCCAGTGAAAGTTACTCTTCCTGGATTACCTGAAGAAGAAAAGTTTTTGCTTGGTTTCTCAAATGATATAGTAAAGGTTCTTGCGGCACAGCTTTCACTATGTTTAGCCAGTAACACATAATCTAGTCCAGACCTAGACTAAGTAATATATTTACATGTAGCTGTGTCCTGGAACAGTTCAAATGAGGGTTTTTTTGTTTTTGTTTTAAAAAACAAGTTTGTAATAACTTACAGAAACTCTGCTCTAGTCCTCATGCATACACACACACACACACACACACACACACACACACACACACACACACAGCCTGGCAGTGAGGGATAAACCAGCTAGCAACACCCACTCTATTCAAAGACACAATAGAAGTATCACCCATTTACATTGTTAATGTGTCTTCCTTTGGGATGCACAAGTATTGTAATATTCAGAGCTTTTGTTTCATGCAGAAACACTGAATGCTGTACTCTCACCTGTTCCTTAGACTGACGTGCAGGTATAAAATTGTGTAGGCAGAGGCAAAATAAATCAGGACAAAATGAAGTCTTATATTTCTTAGTAATGTTTTTCATATGCTCATAAAAGACCAGTGTGTATACTTTTTATTACAAGAGCATTGAATTTAATTATTCCAAAGTTGTTGGCAATGCAATTATTTTTGTCTGTATTCTACTACCCCTAATGGAACTTTGTGCCTGACACATTGTTAAGAAAACTTTAATGACTCCATAAAGAAAGAAAGATGTTTCTTGATACTGCTTTAGTGATTCTAAGGTTTTTAGGCTCATTCTATCATAGAGTTCTAAATAGTGAGAAGAGAATGCTATAAGCACAAAGCACACAGTATCTAAGACTGGACTATGTTAAGGTTTGAGACCATCTCCCTGAACTGCCTTGATATAGAACAGAGAAGGTCCCTACTCTGTTTCCCGACTGTTTGAGATCCTTATCTCTCTGTAGGGGGAAGCATGCATCATGGGAGCAAAACGGATATATAAGAAGCGAAAATCGGAGCGAAAGTGCATGCAAGGAAAATATGCCGGAGCTATGGAATCTGAACCCTGTGTCTGCACAGAGGCAGATTTTGACTGGTAAGCTTGCACTGCTATTCCATAGAGTTGTTCATTCAACCTGTCAAATCCACATGGGCCTGAACTAAAACTTGGATTTGAAATACTAACCTACACAGAGCTCAGTGATAAACTTCGTATTCTTGTGAAATTGCTTCTTGGGACATGTTGATATCTATGAGACTGTTCCTTTTTTTCCATCCTAAAGGAATATTTTGGAGAGGACCAGTGATTTTCTTAAAAAATTTGATAGATCTCAGCAACCTGATTTTCTTCAGGTTGTAACATTTACAAACAAAGAAGTGGACTTCTCAGGAATTACTATTACTTGTGCTCAAAATAAAAACTTCTTAGTACCTAGAACATGTTTTTGCAAGGTGACTGACTTTCTATTCCACACGTATATATCAAGTAGTCATCTGGCCTTTGCATAGGAGAGCTTTGTAAGATATTTATGAATTCAGTGGAAAGAAGGACTCAATAATATTCAGTCTACAGCTCTTAAGTTGAGTTTTGAATCAGACTTTTCCTTTACTAGAATTAAGTCTATATAAATTGGAAAAGTACAAAGAGCTTGGAAGTTACAAGAACTGGGAGTACCCTAGCAAACCTTCTCGAGCATTTTGCTAAGCAGAAACCTAGTTTGTAGCACAATGTTCTTACCTTATTCTTAGAGAATGTGTACCGTTCAGGTGCATTGACAAATAATGAGTTATGACGAAAAGTAGGTAGTCTCTTCCTTGCTAGGTACATTCATTTTCTGTTCCTTTCCCTCTTTCTCGTTCTTTGTTTACACAATTTTAGTTTTAATAAGGGACTGCTAGATATATCCTTCAATGTTAAAGGACTAAAAATTTCCTTGCATAAGAACCAAAGTCATGGCATCAAAAATGTAATTATATTGAAATCACAGACCACATAGCTGTTAATCAAAATATTAATGGTTGAGGTGATGTACATATACATGGGAGGTGGGGAAACCTTATTATATACTTATGGGAGTGGTCTCGAAATCAATAGCACTGCACTGGCCCAGCAAAGTTAACCACTTTCCCCTTCAACCCCACCTCCTTATCTTGTAGATAAGGCAAGCCAAGAGTCAATGCTGAATCTCTCTGGGTTTACCCAGAAGACAACAGAGCATCAATAGTTATGGGGTATATGAGGATTTCTGTAGCGCACTCCCAAATGTCTGCTTAATTTATGAGAATTTTGAAATGACAATTTTTTTTAAATCTCTATCCTAACTTTTGAAATCTGCACTGCACTGTAGCACTGTCCTCCCATTGTTCATCAATTTGCTCGAGCGGGCCCAGTAACATCTCCATTGTGAGACTTGTTACTGTTTTTGGCATATCGAGTACATCAGGGGTAGCTTTTGAAATCAACACGTTGAAATGCATTCACAGGAAAAATGAAAAATGTCTTTTTGGAGGGGGGTGGGGGAGGAAGCAGTGGCTGAACCTGGAGGTTTTCAGGGCTTACTCCTGGCTCTGCACTCAGGAATCATTCTTGATGGTGCTCCAGGACCCATATAAGGCCCCAGGGAGAGTTGGGTGCGTGCAAGGCAAGAAACCCACCTGCTGCACTATCACTACAGTCCTTGGTCTGTGGAAGTTCTAAATCACCATACCCCTTCATGCTTCTCTTCATCTTCTCATCTCACAGAAGATTTTTTAAAAGAGCAACCATTTTCCTCTTGGCAGTTTACTTTTAGCAACTTTCTTTTCAAATGAGATATATTTTGGCCACACCAAAGAGCCAGTTTCTTGGCAAATGAAATACACTTTTCAAAGGGCAAATATATTTTCTCTTATAAAACCAAACTGAAAAGGAGATGAGCTAACACAATTTTCTCATAGCACAGTGGTAGGGCGTTTGCCTTGCACGCAGCCAACATGGCCGACCCGAGTTCGATTCCTCCGCCCCTCTACGAGAGTATCTTGCCCGCATGGCAGAGCCTGGCAAGCTCCCGGTGACGTATTCGATATGCCAAACACAGTAACAACAAAGTCTCCAATGGAAACATTACTGGGCCCGCTTGAGCAAATCGACGATCAATGGGAGGGTCTTTACCTTTTACCTTTACCTCCTGGAAAGGTAAAGGTAAAAGGTAAAGGCCCTCCCGTTGTTCGTCGATTTGCTCGAACGGGCCCAGTAACGTCTCCATTGGAGACTTTGTTGTTACTGTGTTTGGCATATCGAATACTCTCGGTAGCTTGCCGGGCTCTCCGAGAGAGGCAGAGGAATCGAACTCGGGTCGGCCATGTTGGCCGCTTGTAAGGTGAACTCCCTACCCGCTGTGCTATCGCTCCAGCCCAAAGGTAAAGGCCCTCCCGTTGATCGTCGATTTGCTCGAGCGGGCCCAGTAACATCTCCATTGGAGACTTTGTTGTTACTGTGTCTGGCATATCGAATACTCTCGGTAGCCTTGCCGGGCTCTCCGAGAGGGGCGGAGGAATCGAACTCGGGTCGGCCATGTTGGCCGCTTGTAAGGCGAACGCCCTACCCGCTGTGCTATTGAGGAGATTTTCTGCTAGGTTCTAAAATAAGCCAGTGTTTTGTTGTCATTGTAATTCTCTTTCTTTCTAAATTACAAGCTTCTCCAAGCTGTGGTTTTCAACCACCAGTTCATTGACCAGAAATTCCCTGCAGGTCCATGAAAAAAAAAATCATCCTGTTTAAATGACAGTGGTTTTCAACTATTGATCTGCTAAGACACAGGTGACATAAATAAGTTGACAATGGTGTACAGTGAAGGGAAGGCAGTTAGATTTGTTCACTCCCCTACCACTCAGGATCCTCATTCTTGACTCAGTTCTTGCATTCATTGTAACTGGAATCTGCTACACATCCTGATAATGCAAATGTATTCTGAGAACTGGAAATGAATAATAAAAATGGACATTGTAAAATTTTTCTTAGTGTATAAAATCTTTATGGGCGCCCAGGGGGAGGCCCTGATGGCTCTTCCACTAGCTGTCCACGGCATTTGGGCTGGGCCCCGGGCTCCTCACCCAGCCTGGGTGGCCTGGGTCATGGTAATGTCGGTGGGCCCCACGGGTGACTTATGTGAAGCGGGGAGAAGAAAGTCACTTTCTCCCCATCCGCCTCTGCCACTCGGGACCCAGGGTTGCTGGGTTCTTGTCTCGCCTCGCAGAAAGGAATTTCAGGAGTAGACAAGCAGTGAAGTAAATAGATTTTATTTGGAGGATTTTTCAGTATGGAGGGAGGGAGAGGGAGTGAGAGAGTAAAGTTAGACATGAAAGCATGAAAGTACACATCTCAAGAGGGGAGATGCGGGCGACACATGTGCTCGGGAACCACATGTGCTCGGCCACGTGGGCGCAAGCAGCACATGGGCTTGGGCAGCGAATGCGCGCCCTTCCTTTGTTCAAGGTGCCCTTTATAGGGTTTCTCCAACCTGCCCCCACGTGGGGCTTCTTCCCAGGTAAATGTCCCGTTGCTAAGGAGGTTACCAGGGAGGATGGGAGTGGTGATGGTCTTCTTTGAAATTCCTTTCCTGGCCTTTGGTTCCTAGAGGAGCTTTGGGTCTGTTGCTGGAGCCAGGTGAGGGTCTTATCAAGCCTTAGTTCCCGTTGTCCTATTTTCTGCAGGGCTGGCTTTTGTCGTTGCCTCGGGAGGGGGCCCTCCCTGTCTACCTGCCTACATCAATGGGGCAGATGGTGGACAAAATGAGGGCTAAGCCGGTTGATTGATCAGATGCCGTTTTTTCCATTCTACCCACACGTCTGCCCCAGTCTCCTTGAGCCTCCCATTCTAGTCTCCACTGCTCCTCATTCCAGTCTCCTCCTTTCTCTCCCACTCATCTCTCCGCACTCCATCTTGCAATCTGGGCTCTCTCTCTCCACGTGCTTGCCCCTGTATTTTTCTTCTACATTCTTCTCCCTCTGTCCCTCTTGCTAGCCTCTCCCGTGGTCCATCTTGCTGTCCTGCCTTCTCTCTCTCATCCTCTCCAGCTCTCTCCCTGTCTCCAGCTCTCTTGCACACTAGGCTGACACTGCACCCAGTCTGGTAGCCAAATCAACATAAGAAAGCCCTTCCTGAAGGCCCACCAAGTTCAAAGGAAACACCACCTTAGAGATATTCTAAAGCCCTTCCTGACTGCCTCAGGCAAAATACCTCTTAAGGTGTTTTTCTCCTTTCCTTAATCTAAAAACTCAACCTACATCTTATCTTTGTATGGACACAGTAAGAGATAACATTGAGGCTTGTAGGGCAGCATTCCTGGGAACATATTGCCACAGACTCAGACTACAGCATTCAGGACAGATTAATCATTCCTAACCCTAGCAGGGTCTGAATCTAGTTACCACTTTTTGGATCATGACAGCATTTGTCCATGACCAAACTTTTAACTTATGGTTAAGCGTTATGGCACTTTGGCCAGGCCCATCTCTATGCCAGGGTAGCATATAGCTTACCGCTCGCCCTGGTTCCATCCAGTCCCTCCTCGGGACCCTGCTTTTGGGGCTACTAGGCAGTAAAGGCAGCTGAGGCTTAGGTGAGAGAACAGATGCGCTGGAGGAAAATATCACTGAGAGTCATGTTACAAAGGAATAGCATATACTGTCTTCTTGTGTCCATACAAAAAAAGGCATTGCTCTGAATAAACTATGACTTAGAAAGAAGAGAAAAACAATATTTACAAGTCAACAGAGCACAAAGAAAGAAGTTACAAATAAATACAGAGGAATTGGGCATTGTGATGGGAGCAACCCAATAAACCTAAACTACCTGAGGCTATGCAGGAAGGACAAAACCCTACAAGCCTCAATGTTAAACTAATATAATGTTAGTTTAACATTCTAAACTGTTACCCTACAGTTTAGAATGACACAATGTCTGAAAATATTTAGGAAGATTCGCATGATCTTTTTAAATATCCATCAATAGTTGGAACTTCAAGAATTCCACTTAACATAATGAAAGCTGGTTACATCTTATGTTCCCTCTTGGCGACTTGGCTCTCCCCTGGGACAGGATGTGCTTCCAGATGACCTTTCCTGTCATTCTCCATTATTTGTAATGTAGCTCTTTAAAATGAGCTCTGGGTATCCTCTAGGCAGCAATTCTGAAATCTCCCTACTCATGCTGTGTTGAACCAGCACCAAAACCAGCTGGTCTGTGCAGAATTCTTACTGCCAGCTCCCTGGCGACAGACCCCTTCACTGAGCCCACATCTCCCTTCCCGATTTCCCTTTACAAGCACCTCACTTCCCTCACACAGATGTGCCAGTTCAGACTGTTTGCTGACCGGATCGGTGCCTGTACATGGAGCGATGCTATTCGTTGTCATCCTTTGTGTTCAAGTGCATCTTCCAGAAGTCAAGGTTGTCAGGGAACTCAGAGGCTCAGGGAGGCAAGAATGAGAAACTGAAAGTCGTTGTCTGTTTGCAAACAGAGAGGATGTAAAGCAGATAGCCCCGTCTGGCAATGCTAACTGGCTAGAACAAAAGTTTTCCTTGGGGAAATACTCACAAGACTCCTGAAGGACGTTGTGGTTTCTCCTGTGACTTTGAAGCATATGGCTCATGCACAGAGAGGCATGGCTCAGCTCTACCTGGTAGATCCAGATGTGCTTTTTGGAAGAGCACCCCAAAGACATCATCAGTAATGAAGATCTGGCCACATGTGGCCGTCCTACTCTCTGATGAAGTTTTATGCTGAGCTTTCCCCAGGACCTCCTTTCTAATTACTGACTTCTCTGAGTTCAAACTCAGTCAGCACTGCATATGCTCCTAAGGCAAATCTCGCCTCTGTATGCTCAAAAGTGTTTTGTTGTAATTATTGAGAATTGAGCTTTGATCTTTGAGTCAGCATTTCTCCGTCTGGGTTCTGTAGGATTTTTTTTTTCTGAGTAACTAATAGATAGTTTGTGCAAAAACACAGTTCCATATTAGAAAGAAATTGATTCACTAAATGGCTTTTTCCCCGTTTGGTTGGACTAATAATTGCTTAGGGCAGAGGTTGGCTGTGGATTAGCATGGTTTTATTCTCAGTAATTTTTTACCTCCTAAAAGATTTCTCTTGGCTTTTTCCCCATAGTGACTATGGTTATGAGCGACATAGCAATGGTCAATGCCTGCCAGCATTTTGGTTCAATCCATCTTCTCTGTCTAAGGACTGCAGCTTGGGACAGAGTTACCTCAATAGCACTGGGTGAGTATCCAAAGTAGTGACTGTGAGAGAGCAATGTTTGCTGTTTCCCAGCATGTGCTAAATATTAACTGAATAACTTCGGATCAAAAACCAGAATCCTTAATTATAGTGCATTATTTCCTTATATTCAGTTTAAGAATGCAGAACAGATTTGTGTTAATGGTGCAGATTACGTGTGAAGTCTCTACTTACAAATAAAGGAAACAGTTCCTTGAATGAAAATGAACATGAACACATGTATTCACTTTTTGGTACTTGATCTCAGAACTATTTAATTATTCGAGGCTGCATTTTACCTTCACTGCATCCTAATGGGGAAGCAAAATAAATATTTCATGTGTCCATTCCTTTTTTATGAATGTGGAAACCGCCTACAGAAAAAAATCTCAGTGACTCTTCAAAATATATGGTAATCCAGTCTTGATACATTTAAGGTATAAAGTAAAAAGTAAAGGCCCTCCCGTTGATCATCAATTTGCTCTAGCGGGCCCTGTAATGTCTCCATTGGAGACTTTTGTTGTTACTGTGTCTGGCATATCCAATATGTCACAGGGAGCTTGCCAGGCTCTGCCGTGAGGGCGAGATACTCTCGGTAGCTTGCCGGGCTCTCCAAGAGGGGCGGAGGAATCAAACTCGGGTCGGCCATGTTGGCTGCGTGCAAGGCAAATGCCCTACCGCTGTGCTATCGCTCCAGCCCTAATTATTTAAGGTATACATTTAAGGTATACATTCTGTTTTTGTAAACTTAAAGTAATGTATTTTGTTCTTGTTGTTATTGTTTATTTGATGTTGTGTAGCTTATCTAATACCATTGAATAAGTAGTAGAGTTCAATGCTAAGGTCCTCACTGTTCTTCTAACACCACTGGACATGACCCTGGTCGCCCAAAGTACCACCTGTCCTGATGCAGCACTGCATAGATTCATAGAAGCATCAAACTCTCAGGTCCACACCTCTGGGACATTGCCAGGAGCAAGCCCCAGGTTCTCCAGCATCACTGGCAATGAAGATGACCCTATATCAAACAAGTACTATAAGAAGGGAATCATTCTAAGACATTTTAAAATAGGGTAAAACTTACTTAGATTCTAATTTAAACAGCAGATGATTAGGAGCTGTTAGGATTTCCCAGAGACATGATTTTATTTCTCCACCGAAAGGTATTTGTATATGACATCTATTATTGTGAACGTGGTCCAGTTCACATCCCAAGACCTGTACATGAATCAGAAGTTGGAGCTAATTTCAGTCCAGTAATAGAGACAAGGAGAGACAAGTTTTGTGTAAAGGGCAGCTGACTTAAAACCCAATAAAAATTGATATTTCAGTATGATTGCAGAGGCAGGGAAACACACTGTCCACTTAGAATATAGTGAATGCTGGAACAATTTGTCTTACCCAGGAGAGGGTGAACCTTTAGGCTTTTAACAGATCAAGTAGGCCCACCTACATTATGAACTGCAGTCTGCTTTATTCACTTTGTTAATTTAAATGTTCGTTCCATACACTTCAAACTTTGCAGAAAGATCCTGGATAATGTGTGACCAAAATACCTAAAAGTGGAGTAAGTCAAACTGACACAATTTTAAAGCATCACCGAATTCAGTTGTATTACCTGAAAAGAGATGTAACCTTAATATCACTTTAAAATATAAATATATTTGAAATGTATTAAATATATTTGTTTGATATATTTACATTTATACAAATATATAAATACATATAAACTATTATATTTGTATAAATATCACTGTCTCTGTCACTGTCCTCCTGTTGTTCATCGATTTGCTCTGGCAGGCACCAGTAACGTCTCACAACAGATTCTGAGACTTGTTATGGTTTTAGGCATATTGTCTCTTTCACAGGTAGCTTGCCAGGCTTTGCTGTGCACATGAGATACTCTCAGTGGCTTGCCAGCCTCTCTCTGAGAGGGGCGGAGGAATTGAACCTGGGTCAGCCAAGTGCAAGGCAGACACCCTACAAACTGTGCTATCACTCCAGGTCTTGTATAAATATATTAAATAAATATTTTAAATATATTTTAAAGTAATAGTTTTAACTACTTTAAAAGTATGAACAAACACAGATAAATACCTTGAATATCTCTATCTCTGATATTAAGGGTTAAAGAAATGATTTACTATGCCATGATTTACTTGATTTACTTGAGTACTAACACAAAATCTGAGAAAAATAGAAGTAGCATTTTATAGTAATTAGTGAGCAAGGCTTTTAGAAATGGTATCATGGTAGAATATTATAAAAGGCTGATTAAATCGCCAGTTTTAATGATGAAGGAATGCCAAAGAAAGGAGTTTTATTACTTACTTAGATTCTAATTTAAACAGCATTTAAAAACGTATATAAATAAGTTTTATTAGTTATAGATGCCATTGTTACTGTGTCTGGCATATCGAATACTCTCGGTAGCTTGCTGGGCTCTCTCTGGAGCGATAGCACAGCGGGTAGGGCGTTTGCCTTGCACGCGGCCAACATGGCCGGCCCGAGTTCGATTCCTCCACCCCTCTCGGAGAGCCCAGCAAGCTACCGAGAGTATTCATATGCCAGACACAGTAACAACAAAGTCTCCAATGGAGACGTTACTGGGCCCGCTCGAGCAAATCGATGATCAACGGGAGGGCCTTTACTTTACTTTACTTAGATGCCATTGTAAAGAAGATTAGAAACCCCCCAAATTAACTTAAAAACTTATTATTTTCTTTTTACTAAAGCAATCAGGGAAGTCATATTACTTTTTTGTTGATTTTGAGGAGAGGAAGCTGATGAAGGGCAGAGGAGTCTGAGTTGTTCCAAATGCTACTCAAACACTAGAATGGACAGAATGGAGACCAAGAGCCCTCAATTTCTGATTTACTACCACATACATGTTCACATAAACATTGCTAAGCTTTCCTTAAAGAAATGTCACCTAATTTTACCAAATATAGTAAGTGAAATCCAAGTAAATACAAGCTCATAAAAGAAAGTGTCAGGAATATTACTATAGAATATATTCTGTCCTGCGGAATTGTTTGTCTTTAATTTTGGACCAAACCCAGCTGTGCCTGGTGCTTTCACTTGATTCTGTACTCAGGTACCACTCCTTCCTGGCAGTGCTCATGGGACTGTATGTGGTACCACCAAGAACAAAACCCTTGCCTGCTATGTGTAAGTCAGTTGCTCTACCAGCTGTATTATATCTTTGCCCCTGAAGTTCTATTTTTGACAAGATGTGATTGTCACATCTTGTAAGTGTTCAGGCACAAAACTGTCTCTCAATTAATTTGTAATTATTAGTTGAAGAATCACTAATATTACTGCCTAGAATTTGATATTCAGTCCCACATGTTTATTTTTGTTATTGGGTATAACATTAGAAAATCTGATCCTAGTGGATTTCTGTTGTTATCTTATCTGTTTATCCATTTTTATATCCATTTTTCCAATAGCTTTAATATTTGTTCGAAGTCTTAGCAATAATTTTTTCAATTGTGGCTTCTTTTATTTTAGACACGATGATTATACATCTTAGGCTACAGTATAGTATAGACTGTACTATATAATTTTTAAAGCACTAGAAAGCAAAAATTCATATCATGCACATTGTTAATCTATTAGCTTAATTACAGTGGTCTAGAACCAAACCTACTATATCTTTTGTGTGCTTATTACACTGATATTTTCTGTTCTTGACTGGAACGATAGCATAGTGGGTAGGGCGTTTGTCTTGCACGCTGCCCACCCAGGTTCGATTCCTCAGCTCCTCTCAAGAGAGTCCAGCAAGCTACCAAGAGTATCTCGTCCACATGGCAAAACTTGGCAAGCTACCTGTGACATATTCAATATGCCAAAGACAGTAACAACAAGTCTCACAATTTGTTGTGAGACGTTACTGGTTCCCACTCAAGAAAATCGATGAACGATGGGAGGACCATATTACAGTGCTACTTTATATGTTTATTTCATCTATTTCGTTCAGACTTTTTAAGAAAGACTTCGCAAATTGCAGTGTGCAAACTTGTGTAAAGAGAACATGTGATTAAAACCAGATAGCAGTAGACACAATAAGTACCTTGCTCTATAAGTTAAGAACTCATGGATGCAGTGACTGTTTGCCTAAGGTTTGTGAGTTAAGGTCACCGGACAGAAGTGACAAGGCCATATTGTCTTAACAACATAATTTGAATTAGGTGCAAAAAGACCTTCAGCTGGAGTAGGGACCTAAAATCATCTTCCAAGAAGGCCTCATAGAACTGAATTTTACTTGCAATGTCTTTAGCCAACCTAGGAGTTGTCAAAGAATACAAATTAAATTGATTTAATTTTAAATTTTAAGCAAACAAAAACCTCTGCTTTCCCTCATATCACTCTAGTCCCTCATTTGATGATTTTGATTCCGTGGAATTTTATGAGCACAGATTCATTATTTAAATATTCTTGCCAGTCTCAGACTGCTATGAAATATTTAGCTTTTCATATAAAAATATTTAAAAACACAAGAAATTTACACATATGTTTCCATGTTTACAAATCCAGTTTAGAGCATCACCCCATTTCTGGCCCTTTTCCCCATACAACTGTTATCTGTTTGGTTTGCACACTGCTAAATAAGTATTTCTTTTCAATTATGCCAAGAGAAAAAAATACAAAAGTAATTTGGGACATTATTTATACATGTGGGTTCCTACTAAATATATTGTCCATTTGCTATTTCATGAACATCTTTCCAAGTTCAAATACACAGGGCTATCTCCTGTCTATAATTACTTCTAATTCCTGGGATTAAAGCACCTGGGACAGTTTCATTTTATGCTTTCATCAGCATGGGGGTCATTGCCTATTTTCTGCTGTCGTGAACAATGCTGCAGTTACTGGCCTCTTACCATGAAAAAAAAATGTTATTAAAAACAAACCCCAAAACAAGGTAATTAGAGTCTTTTTCTTGAGCAATTGGAGGTATTTCTCTTGCTGGTAAAGTAAATGCCACATAGCCATCTGCT